GGCGGTGGCGGTGGAGGCGACGGGTGAGAGAGGGGTGAGAAATGAAATGACATGAATTAGGGTTTGGGGAGGGGGGTTGGATATATAATATTTAATACTTGATTTAATTATTAATTCAATACCTGATTTTTGATTAAATAAAATTCACACTTGAATTTTGAACTTGAAAAATTAAATGCCTGATTTTTTGTAATTTCCCTAGATTTTTTATATAGAAGGGCTGCAATTTTTGCGAGCCAGGCCATGAACCGGGCAGACTCAGCTAACTTGACAAATCCCTAGTCCTGATAGGCCAGTGTGCTGAGCTTGGGCCGATCATGGTCCAGCTCAAAAGAGCTGGGCTGACAAGCTCACGAGCGGCCCAAGCCCATTGTCAACACAAGATGGAAGGATGTTAACACAAAAATAATATGGCCAATGCCTAGAATTTCTAACGTGACAGTTTATTTGGTCTATAAGAAAACTTTAATCTCAAATGACATCGGAACATAGGAAGTCGTGTCCTTAACAAGATATTTCAGCGTAAGAAAGTACTCAAAATACTTAACCGAACTTACGAGTATTCGAAATATGTTTTCTAATGCAATTTCGAGCGTTATTTTAGTACATTTTCAATATCCTTATCCCAATACAGGATACCAATGCACAAGGTTATGTGACAAAACACTAATTCGCTTGTTACATGATTAATTGTTCGAAAAAGGATCTTTGGTCCAATGGACCGACCAAAGATTATAAGTAAAATAATTCAGTTGTAGAAGTGAAATCCAATCCCAACTGCCATGATTCCAAGGGGAACAAGTAAATAGAGGATCTTATTAATAGACTCCAATGTCTTGCCACTGTCATATTCAGGCTGTGGTGGAGATAGAATCGTGGTAGCCGGGGTAGGGTAGGTCGAAGGATCAACCTCCCCGACATAGAATTCGTCTAGCATCAATCTTGCAGCACTGCCATGGCCTGCCTTCTCAAATTCTTCACTTGCATCCTTACCTAAGAAATGAACCTCATCCAACATAAGGCATATGGTGTCCACAGAATTGAATCATTGTTATTAGTAAAAATTCGAATGATGGCATACCTGCTGCTGCTAGTAAGACTTCTTCACCACCCGGATGGTCATCCAAGAAGTTTGTTACATTATATGCCTGTTAATAGGGACGGAGCCAGGGGGAGAAATTTCAAAATGGGGTAGGCTAAAATTTTTTGGGCTGGACTAATATATATAAAAAGAATTCACATTTAAATATTGGGTTTCTGATGCAGAAGCGCAGGAGAATGAGGGAGAGACTAGAGTCAGATATGAGCGCACCAAGAAGATGGAAAAGCCATATTTTTTTTTCCAATTCGAATGAAAATGCTCTCTGGTCTTACGCTTATACTTACAGATCTTCGACTTGAGGGCTAAATTCCCAATTCTTGTTCTGTTTTTGGATCTATTACCAGATCACTTATCACCATGGCTATGTCAATGTGACAGTAATCTTTTTTTTTTTTTTCTCCTTTTTAACTTTAGACTGGGAAACATCTTGTGTTCTGTCCTTTCACATTCTCTTGCACATTCTCTTGCTATAGATTTTTACCCTTTTTTTTTACCTGGGATGGAGTTCAAATCCTAAATTTAACTACAGATAAAAATTTGTTAAGAGACTACAACTTATGGTAATAATCCCAAGTCTAGGACCTTTTTTTGTACTATTTCACTGCGGAATTTATCCTTGACGGATTGTTTGTAGTAGAAACACTGGTTTTCTTAATTATAATTTTGTTGTTTGTATCAGTTTTTGCCTTCTGAACAAAACAAGATTTTTTGTTGTAAAAGGACTGTTCTTTGCTTCTATATGTTGTGTTTCATCTGTCTCCTGATTTCACCGAAGTTGGTCTAAAGACTCGTTTGAGAAGTTAAAAACCCAAGAAGCACAAGCCCTGCCAAACTGACAAGATAGTTTCCTCATGAAACTCTTGTACAAGAAACAAAAGCAAAAGTTCTATCAAACGAGCTCTAATTCTTCATCTGCAAACGTTTTAGATGGGATGATTCGTGGTCGAGGTAGTTCAAGAATAGCGTTATGGTTGGATTAAAGACGAGTTTGGTAGAAATAGAATCTTGAAGATGATTCAAAAGAACAAGAATTTATTAAACTAAATTCACTTTATAGATCACAGAAACAAGCAGCTGCAAAATCCACATAAATTTTGATTACCTTGGCATTTATGATGATCCAACAGTCCTTAGAAGTGTTATGAACTGAAACATGAGAATAGCTAAACGCCTTGCTATCAAACCCCATTAATCTGCCTCTTCTTTCTGATGGAAACTTGACTTCTATTGTGATGATCCTTTTTTCTTTGATGATGGGCAGATTTCAGAAAATTATTCAAATTTTGAGTAATATTTTAATACAGATTGATTGACCCGCCGGCTGCATGAAAGTGACATAATTATTTATATATAGATTATGACATTAAGCATATAATATGGGATGGGAATATCAAATGATGATAGCATTAAGATTTAAATCGAAAAACAAAGAAGGAATATGTATTTATGAAATTGTTTTTGGCTACATTCGTAACGGAGAATTCAAAGGGACAAATTTATTCGATATAAATAAATTTTAAAAATATTATAATTTATAAAGTTCACACATAATCGTAGTAGTTCTTGGAAATACCGTACTTTACAATGCTTAGACAAATTTGACAATTTATAATATTAGTAATTTTCTTAAAAATGTGGTTGAATTCAAACGTGCCTTATATAATGTATAAATACTTAACTAAAAAGTTACGATGCCTTTTATTAAACGAAAACCTAACTAGGATTATGCATACCCAAATAATTTATGACCACTACCTAAAATTGTGCACAGTCATCTTTGTCGCGTACTTTTGGTTGAACTATTATTATTTTAAAATTTCATAAACATAAAATTTTTACAGTGTTAATTATAAAACTACTAGTTGATTAGAGGTTAGTAATGTTGAGTTTGTGAAAAAAAAAAGTTGGGGACAAGATTACTAATGGGGTCAAAAGTTGGGGACTATAAGTGAAATTTAGCCTTTGCACAATTTTCCCCGTGAGTTGATTATTTGAAGGCAGTGTTCTAAAATGCGTAATGCGTTGCGATGTTTCGATGTCGAGAATCAAGAATCACAAGTTTAGACGTGTCAATGCGAAGAATAAGCGTCATAATGCGTTTCGTATTTTTAAGGTATTAAATATATTTTTATATAAAAAAAATAGATTTTTTAATATATCATAAAAAAAAAAAATTTTAAAAAGGGATTAGGCGGGATAATGCACGCCTAAGAGCGCATTATGCGCGCATTAGGCCCGTCTAGGCGCGCATTATGTGTGCATTTTAGATGGAAAACGCATTTTTCGCGCATTTCTCGAATTCGACGCGTTTTCGGTCCGCGTCGCGCCTAAGCGCGCCTAGGCGGCGCATTTTGGCGTTTTTTAGAACATGGTTTGAAGGTCACTGAATTTTGCCAAGTATTACTACTTAATAACTGAACCTAAAAATATATATCAATGGTCACCAAATTTTGTCAAGTGTTACCATTTCATAATTTAATTTAAAAATGTATCTATATGGTCAACTATACATCATATTACACATCCATCACTCAAATGGAAAAAAAAATGTTACATTCAACAAATGACATCGAATTGAGTGATGGATGAATACTACATTGTATAGTTCAATAATCGTTGATATACATTTTTAAGTTCAATTATTAAGTAGTAGCACTTAATATAATTCAGTGATAGTTAAGATACATTTTAAATTCAGTTATTAAGTAGTAATAATTTCTTTTTCCCATAAATCTGTGAAAGAAAAAATTAAAGAAAATGAAGCGAAAAAAGAAAGAACTCAAATTGACCTCGGTTACCTTGGCATTAATTCGGACATTTTTGTATTTTTATTTATTTTTCCTTTGCTAAATTATTTTAGTATTCATACAATCTCTCTTTTAGGCTTTTATGTCAAGTTTGAGATATGGTGAATTGATACTAGTTGATTTGAAAATTGAATGTATTTTTCACCGCGGGCAAAAAGAAGCAAAATAAGCATAAACTTAAAAAGACCAAAAACAACAACAAGAAATGGCCAATGAACTGAACAATCCAGTAATTCAAGTAAATGAAGAGGTAGTTGTCAATTAAGAGGATATACTAGCCGAGGAATTAATGACTCCACAAATCATTCAAAGCCAATCTAACATCATATATCCTCCATTTGGGCAGCAAAACTTTTAGTTGAAGACTAATTTTATCCATTTATTTTAGAATGGACACAAGCAAAAGTCTATTTTTCTTTGATTTAAAAGTCTTTGATTTTCTGTTTCCTCTTTTTTCCCTTCATTTTCTTTTGTTTTTTTTTTTTTCGTTTGAGGGATTTAATAATTGAATTTAAAAATGTGTCTCAGTGGTTACTAATTTATGTCCAATGCTACTATTTAGTACTTAATAACTAAATTTAAAAATGTAGCTCAATGGTCATTTGTAACACGGTGCATAGTTCAGTGACCACTGAGATACATTTTTAAGCTCATTGAATTTTGCCTAGTGTTACCGCTTAATAACTGAACTTAAACCACTGTTTGACACCCATTTTTTTCTCATTTTATTTCTATTTCTTCATTTCAACCACATATTATATTAATAAAATAATATTACACATAAATCCAAAAATTCTCCTTACTTTTTAATCACACAATCTTCCATCAATCACTATTCCAAAAATTATTTTTCAAACAAAATGGGTATCAAACAAGGGCTAATCACATCAAACGGTCAAAAAAGTGAAACTTTCCTGGAAAACTCCGCCAATCAAACGGAGCCTTAGATTTTTTATATGGAAAGGCTGCTTTTTTGCGAGCCAGCCCATGAACTGGGCAGGCTTGGCTAACTTGACAAATCCCTAGTCCTGATAGGCCAGTGTGCTGAGCTTGGGCTGATCATGGTCCAGCTCAAAAGAGTCGGGCTGACAAGCTCAAGAGCGGCCCAAGCCCATCGCCAACACAAGATGGAAGGATGTTAACACAAAAATAATACGGCCAATGCCTAGAATTTCAAATGTGACAGTTTATTTGGTCTATAAGAAAACTTTACTCTCAAATGACATCGGAACATAGGAAGTCGTGTCCTTAACAAGATATTTCAGCGTAAGAAAGTACTCAAAAATATTTAATCGAAATTACTAGTATTCCAAATAGGTTTTCTAATGCAATTTCGGGTGTTATTTTAGTACATTTTCAAAATCCTTATCCCAACACAGGATACCAATGTACAAGGTTATGTGACAAAACACTAATTCGCTTGTACATGATTAATTGTTTGAAAAAGGATCTTTGGTCCAATGGACCGACCAAAGATTATAAGTAAAATAATTCAGTTGTAGAAGTGAAATCCAATCCCAACTGCCATGATTCCAAGGGGAACAAGTAAATACAGGATCTTATTAATAGACTCCAATGTCTTGCCACTGTCATATTCAGGCTGTGGTGGAGATAGAATCGTGGTAGCCGGGGTAGGGTTGGTCGAAGGATCAACCTCCCCGACATAGAATTCGTCTAGCATCAATCTTGCAGCACTGCCATGGCCTGCCTTCTCAAATTCTTCACTTGCATCCTTACCTAAGAAATGAACCTCATCCAACATAAGGTATATGGTGTCCACAGAATTGAATCATTGTTATTAGTAAAAATTCGAATGATGGCATACCTGCTGCTGCTAGTAAGACTTCTTCACCACCCGGATGGTCATCCAAGAAGTTTGTTACATTATATGCCTATTAGGGACGGAGCCAGGGAGAGAAATTTCAAAATGGGGTAGGCTAAAAAATTTTGGGCTGGACTAATATATATAAAAAGAATTCACATTTAAATATTGGGTTTCTGATGCAGAAGCGCAGGAGAATGAGGGAGAGACTAGAGTCAGATATGAGTGCACCAAGAAGATAGAAAAGCCATATTTTTTTTTCCAATTCGAATGAAAATGCTTTCACTGGTCTTACACTTTTACTTACAGATCTTCGACTTGAGGGCTAAATTCCCAATTCTTGTTCTGTTTTTGGATCTATTACCAGATCACTTATAACCATGGCTATCAGGCTATGTGACAGTATTCTTTTTCTTTTTTTTTTTTTTCTCTTTTTAACTCTAGACTGGGAAACATCTTGTGTTATGTCCTTTCACATTCTCTTGCTATAGATTTTCACCCTTTTTTTACCTGGGATGGAGTTCAAATCCTAAATTTAACTACAGATAAAAATTTGTTAAGAGACTACAACTTATGGTAATAATCCCAAGTCTAGGACCTTTTTTGTACTATTTCACTGCGGAAAGAGTCCTTGACAGATTGTTTGTAGTAGAAACACTGGTTTTCTTAATTACAACTTTGTTGTTTGTATCAGTTTTTGCCGTCTGAACAGAACAAGATTTTTTGTTGTAAAAGGACTGTTCTTTGCTTCTATATGTTGTGTTTCATCTGTCTACTGATTTCACCAAAGTTGGTCTAAAGACCCGTTTGACAAAATTTTTGAAAAATTAAAACCCAAGAAGCAGAAGCCATGCCAAACTAACAGGATAGTTTCCTCGTGAAACTCTTGTACAAGAAACAAAAGCAAAAGTTATATCAAACGAGCTCTAATTCTTCATCTGCAAACGTTTTAGATGGGATGATTCGTGGTCGAGGTAGTTCAAGAATAGCGTTATGGTTGGATTAAAGACGAGTTTAGTAGAAATAGAATCTTGAAGATGATTCAAAAGAACAAGAATTTATTAAACTAAATTCACTTTATGGATCACAGAAACAAGCAGCTGCAAAATCCACATAAATTTTGTTTACCTTGGCATTTATGATGATCCAACAGTCCTTGGAAGTGTTATGAACTGAAACATGAGAATAGCTAAACGCCTTGCTATCAAACCCCATTAATCTGCCTCTTCTTTCTGATGGAAACTTGACTTCTATTGTGATGATCCTTTTTTCTTTGATGGGCAGATTTCAGAAAATTATTCAAATTTTGAGTAATATTTTAATACAGATTGATTGACCCGCCGGCTGCATGAAAGTGACATAATTATTTATATATAGATTATGACATTAAGCATATAACATGGGATGGGAATATCAAATGATGATAACATTAAGATTTAAATCGAAAAACAAAGAAGGAATACGTATTTTCGAAATTGTTTTTGGCTACATTCATAACGGAGAATTCAAAGGGACAAATTTATTCGATATAAATAAATTTTTAAAATATTATAATTTATA